CACACACACACACACACACACACACACACACACACACACACACACACCTTCATACACCAAGTGAATTTTTGCACAATACTCAATCTTTTGCAGATTTCTATTGCACTGTTGTGTCTGTGTCGTTCTGTTCTCTCTGGTGTTGTACTGTCTTTGTTTTGTTTGCAATTGTTGCAATCTTTGTACATTGCACTTCATGCAGTCCTGTGTTGATTGTCTGTTATATGTCATATGTAGCACCATGGTCTTGGAGGAATGATGTCTCGTTTCACTGTGTACTGTACCACTACACATGGTTCGAATGACAATAAAGCCACTTGATCTTGATTAGCATGTAGTGTCATGTCTCAATATACTGTGAAATTAAAAACAAGTATATATCTTATAAAAAGAATGATAGAAAATTAAATTACAAAATTTTCACTAATTCTCCAAGCAAACACACAATAATGTTTGAGTTTTTGTTTCAGTGCTTCTGCAGGTGTGTTGCACTTGCTAATTTGTGTTGCTTTTGTCCAGATGAACCCAAAGCAGGTCAGTCAGGCTGAAATCTTGAATCTGGGCCAGTTTTTCTGCTTTGAAACTCATCATTCTGTCTTCTAATCTTTTGGGTCATTAGCTAGCTGTAGACTGAACTCCAGACCAAGCAGGATTCTGGTAGCAATAATGTATTCCAGCAGTACCTCTTGGAATACAGTATTGTCCGAATAGTGGACAAAATAGTTACTGTCCCTTCAACAGGCAGAAGGGTTGGAAGTTAGGTGGTGTACATGTAGGGATTGATTGTATTAACTTTTTTAAGAATTAAAAACAGTGGTGTAGAAAAACTGCTTTCTGTACAATTAACATTTTTTTTTTTTCAATATTTGGTCATCTAAAACTTTTCTAATCCTTGAGATGTTTCCCACTTTCCTTTGTGTTATTAAGGGCTAATCAGTGGAGTGGGAAATTGGGGTGTAAAACTGTCTCACATATGGAAACTCATTTCCACCACTAAAAAAAAAGTATCCATAACTTGAAATTTCGAGTTATCTTTTGAGTTAGTGCTGCCAATCAGTTATCTACGTGAATGACGTCATTTCCTTGTTATCCGGAAGCTGAAGCCCTCAGCTCCAAATGCTACAGTTAAGCTACCAGTCTTACAGCCAGTCATGAATGCACAAATTGCTGATTATTTTCACTGTGGCTTCACAAATTATGAAATCCTGGTGTTATTAGCTGAATCACATGCGTTACTATCAGCAAACGTACTCTTGAAAGCGCCAATTTGTTGCAATCCAGTTTTGAGTGCGTGGATTACTGATTGGCAGAGCTAACTCGAAATTTCGAGTTACTACTCTCGAAATTATGAGAAAATAAGTCGAAATTTCGAGTTATGAATACTTTTTTTTAAAATGGTGGACACAAGCATCCATACTCACATTTAAAACTCACATTGATTTATTTTTATCTTCTTTTTCAATTATATATTTATTTTGTTTATTGATTTCATTGTATGCTTAATATATGGTTTTTAACTGTTATCTCTGTTTTATTATTGGAAAGCACTTTGGTCAACTTTGTTGTTTTTAAAAGTGCTATATAAATAAAGTTGGATTGGATTGGATTAAAACAGAACCTCAAAACTAGTTTTTTTTTTTCACGTTTCCCATCAGGTGTTAAACTGGGCTAATTCTGTGTTTTGTAAACTGCAGTAACAGAACTGAAATAACACATTTCCTCCTTTTTTCTTTTTTTTTTTAAAATCCTGCAGATGCAGCATCTCTGTACATGTTGGGTTGTGGGGATGTGATGCTGTATGAGGTCAAAGCATTTGAGGATGATTTCCACTCTTGGTTTGTTGGCCAGGCTGTGCAGAGAGGTGGGTCTCATTCCAGAGTAAACTGAATCAGTCTGATCATAATTACACACACAGCTATGATGTCGGTTCATTTTATCTTGAATCTGCATCAGCTATATTTGTCTGATGGGAAGAGTTTTGCAATCAGGGCTTATTCCAGCTTGGTTGAAGTCCAAAGAAGCCAAATGATCTATTCAGAAGCTCCTTTTACATTGGACATAAATACTGACAAATGGATTCAATATACAGCTTACCTATAACATGACATCATACACCAAGCTGACAGCTCAGGTCTGTGATTCACAGGTTTGCATACTGCGATGCAGTTTAACTGTATTTGTAATAGTTTTCTTTTTATTTAATCAACAATTTATTGATTAAGTCATAGAAAAATTTATGAATTTTCAGCCGATGTCTCGCAGTTATTTAGTTAGCTGTCCTATAGCAAAATTTAATCAGATGCTAATTACGTGTCTTTGCTTTACCAGTTGTCTTTCTCTCTTTTTTTAATCAGATGGGAGACTGATCTTTGTAACACCTTTGGATCCTCTCTTTCTAATTTTGCCATATTTGATCAAATCTGGCAAAGAGGTAAGAAGAGGCTTACATACAATTAAGTGAAACATTTTTCAATTTCAGCATAGCATTACAGAGACATTAGATATTGTTTCATAAGGCACAGAACAGTAGAGGAAGTTCAGAAAAACTTGCATGGATTTGCAAGTATATTGAATACATTATAAGTTTTTGTGTACAGAGGCAAAATTACAAAAATTATGTCATTGTCAAAAAAACGTGTGGACCTGACTGTTTCATCCCTTAATGTGTTGCTCAGGGAAAGTTCCAGCGTGTGGATCAAGTTGTTAAAGATGAAGAATTCCCAGCTTGCTCGAGGCTGCTTAGCTGCGCTCGTACCCTGGCCTCCTTGCACCACATCGCTGAGGAAAAAGGTGAATTTTACTTTTAAAGATACTGGGATTCATGAAGCTACAAGGTCAAGCTGGATGCTTTGTCCAAATGTTGTGTTCCAGAGGTGGAAAGCCAGATGTATCATCGATACAGTCAAGAGAAAACCATGAACTGGTTAAAGAAAAAGGTATTTATTGAAAATCTATTTTTGCTCAGTGCAATACAACACTGAAAATGCATGCTTATTTTTTGCACATGCTGCACATTTTCTTTATGTATGTATTTTTAATAGGTGGAGAGGACAGTTATTGCCTTAAAGAAAAAAAATGTCTCTGTGGGAGAAGGAGTGAAGTCCTCAACATATGTCAGAGTAAAGTCAGAGACAGACAACCAAGAGGGTAACTTAAGACCACTTAACGCTTTTAAAATGATTCCCATTTCTCAACCATCTGAATTTTCTGCCTCATTCTTAACCCGAGAAGACATATTTGGGCTTAAATAGTTTCTTTCTAGGAAGACTGTTGACCAGCAGATGGCAGTAGCGCTGCAAAGTTTTTGTTTATAGATTATGTTGACTCACAGATCACTTAAACAATTCCCTGACCTTAAGTTTTTAAATCTCTTGGTCATAAAGAAATACAGAAATAATCAAACAGGGCGATTTTGGTTATTTGTATCTCTTATTTAACGATACAGAGGACTTCATACGGTATTCCCACGGCCTGATATCAGAGTATATCACTGAAGACCTGAGCAAAGCCCTCCTCACACACTTGGGGTAAGTTGATGAATGATGAACATCTTAATGAGTAATGGTATTAACGCCACTGCAGATCAAGCACATCTCTTATTGTGCTTCATAGGTTACCAGAGCTCACAAGCCCAAAGGAGACCGAGCCTCCTTCTAAGGTATGAGCTCTTCCCTCTTAGGTGCAAATATATGTGGTGTTGCATGTTTTCAGCTCTGCTTGCTGTCGTAGATGCCGTGCACTCTTCATGCACTCATCCACCTTACTGTAAAGTGTTGCATGTTTCACAGGGGAAATCCTCTGTCTGCGCTTGTGTGGGGTTAACTTTGCTTATAGTGTGAGGACATTAGAGCTTGTAGTGGTGGTTCTGTGGAAAAATAGCTTGGTGGTTTTAGTCATGAAAAGCCTGTCTTACTTCCTCGTTTGGCAGAAGCGGAAACTTTCAGACAAGCCGGTGGAGGCTGGAGAAGACTACACCAAATTCAACAGTGCAGATTTTGCGCGCAAAGTGAGTGTATGTCTGCTGGAATAGACTAAAGCATGTGGAGCGTCTGGTGGTTTTATTTTTGTTGTAATTACATGATAATGACCAAAGCTTGCTGTTATTTTAGCTTTTTCTATTTCTTTTTCTTTCTTTGTGTTTTTTTTTTAAGACGCTGCTTGTTCGTGCAGTTTTTGTTTGGCGATCGCTTTCTTCAAGCCTGGTGTACATCGTGTATTCACAAGGCTGTGGCCCTTACCTTGTAGATTTAATTGAAGTTGATGTTATGTAATTAATTTCCTGCTGTCTCCACACAAGGGCGTTGTGTTATATTGATTTTTCTTCTTTGCATTTCAGCCGCCCAAGAAGATGACGGCAGCTCAGAAAAGTCTAGCTAAGGTGGACAAGACAGGCATGAAGCCCATGTCGTCCTTTTTCAGCCCCAAGGTCAAAGCAGAAAAGAAATGAATGCTGTTTGTGTTTGATTTGTGACATTTCTAATAAAGAAAAAAAAAGTATTTGAAAGTACTTTCTTTTTAAATACTTTGAAGGTAAAGGGATCGTGGCACGTAATTTAGCATTCCTTTTAAACGGATAAATATGTAATATTTAAAAAAACATTTCAGATGATATGGGTTCATTTAAGTTTCTGCATACTTCTTTTGCAACAACCACAAACTACACAAAGACTTTCTTTAATCCTACTTTAGTACCTAAACATTCATTCAGATCCTCTGTATCCTGAAATTGAGTGACAGGTATTTGTAACCCTGGGAAAATAAAACCAATAATGCAACACTCGCTGTATACCATAAAAGTTAGGTCAGGTAGATTGTGTTTTATTGACTTTTCATGTTTACAACTATTTTAACTTTAGCAATGATAAATACAATAACTTTGGCTGGTTTTGAGCTATTCACACAGCCCAGTCCTTGGACTTGCTGAACTTCTCTCTCACATGAAGCGCTCTGACTTTGAAAGGAGCCATTGTTACATTTTTCAGTTGGTTTTGATACCTCAGAGGACTCCAACCTTTCCTTGGGTCTTACCTGTACACTACTGTACAAAATTCTGTATCAAACACAATACTTAACCCTCACTTTGTTCAGTTTAAAAGAGACATTAAAAGATAGGTTTAAAAAAAAAATTCTTCACGATATCAAAGGAATTTCCTGATCTTTTATTTTAGAGTATACAAAAATGATCCAAGTTGGATCTTTAGTGTCATCAAATTGATATGTATCTGAAATCAGTACTCACTTGGACACTATTACATGCATTTTGCTGGTACTAGATCGAAGCCCATTTTGCCCTCCGAAGTTCCTAAATTCTCAGTGGCATCAATTCAACAAGGTGCTGAAAAGATTCCTCAGAGATTTTGGTCCGTGTTGATGTGATTTTTGTCACACAGTTGCTGCAGATTTGCTTGCTGAATATCTGTTATTTGAATTTCTCGTTCCACCACATCCCAAAGGTGCTCGAAAGGACTGGGATGTGGTGACTGTGTAGGCCGTCTGGTACCTTCATTTTTAGTCTTTTTAACATAATTGCTTTCAGAGGATGGGTAACTGAGGTCACAAAGTGATGGTCAATAGCAATAGTCCTGTTAAATTGTGGTGTTTAAAGCAGCAGGAAAAAATATCCCCCACACAATTACACTACCAGCAGCTGTTAATACAAGGCAAGATAGATCCATGCTTTCAGATTGTTTGCACAAAATTCTGACCCAAAAATTTAGATGTGGTAGTGGAAATCAAGACCAGGCAACATCTTTCTAAACATGTTTTGATGAGCCTGTGTGAACTGCTGCCTCAGTTTCCTGTTCTTAACTGACGGGAGTGACACCTGTTGTGGTCTTCTGCTGCTTTAGCACATCCAATGTTGAAATATAAATATGTAATGGCCCTGGTGTCATGATTGCTGTGTTTTTCAATATGAAGTTATTTGGGGTTGACACTGTAATGCAGAGGTGCACCAAAAGGACACTTTAACAGAGGGAAATCCTTATTAATATGAAATATTATCACTTGTGCATTTCTTACTGTGACATGTTCAAGTCTCTGCCAAGGAAAAGCGAAATTTTAGAACACAAGGGTTAAAATATATTTCAACAGCTGGCTGCTTTTGCTTTAATAAAATTATTTTCTTTATTAAAAACTAAGTAATTGTCTGCACAGCTTTATTTATTTATTTTACTGGTGTCAAATGATCAGTGTGGCAGTGCTACTGATTTCAATGTCCACTAAGCTTCATTGCTTCTTTAATTTGGGCTTGAAGCGCAGTGTCTGGAATGCGCTCTCCACCACTTTGGGCAGGTGGATCGGGTTTCTCTGAAGTCGCAGCCTGCTGCTCGTGGACCCGCTCTGTTTCTTCTTCGTGGGGATCCTTTCGTTGGCACAGTCAGGAACTGCTGTCTGGTCCGAAGCATCTGAGACTCGAGGAACTCGCAAGACCCAGTTAGAGTGGAGGTCATGTTCGGCCGAGCTGGAGGCCACTGTGGGAGGAAATGACAAGAACCCGAGGAAGCATTTAGTATCTGTGCAAGTGGCAGCCATAATTAAAGCTAGTTGAAAGAAAAGAAGCTTCGCTGTTAGCATCGATGCGCTGTCTGAAAGGAGCTTTCAAAGCCTAACGTAAAACAATCATTATTTTCATTATTTCATACTTTCCCTGTGAGGTTGAGTTGGCAATGGGGTGAGCTCAAGCTGGAATTCTCAGTGTTTCAACTACTTTGTTTTACTGTTTTCTTGACTTGTACTCATGGCTTTTATTAATGAGAATATTTTCACTGGGTTGTAGGTGTTTAAAGAGCTGCTTTTAGCTGCTCCCTTCACAAGGACCTGCCACAATAGGTAGCTCTGCATATTTGATTTGGCAGATCTGTACTCCAGGTGCCATTCATGACACAACCACACAGGGGTGTGTCCTCCTGGGAATGAGCTGGGGATTTTTCCCTTGTTAAATAAATGTGTAAACCAATACACTGTGGAGCTACTGGGTCACCCATGTTTACCGGGTTTAAACAGCCTCCTTGAAAGGATTCACGAAAGCCTGATATTTGATATATTTGTTTTGTAAACCTCTCCAGGATGAATGAATCTAATCCTTAGCAGCAGCTGAACTGAAATTATGGATCTGGCCTCAAACAGCTCAGTCAGTGTATATTTATATCTCCCAAATTATGTCTACCGGTCTAATTAACATAGTTTAATAACAATTGCTGCATTTAATTCAGTGTGGCACCACTGCTCTTGTGTTTAAACTCATCAGATAAAGATAAACAAAGATAAATCTTTAGAAGCATTTTTCTTTACTGCTACAAGCAATAAGCTTAGTACTGATACCAATACACACCTTGAGCCTAACATATATCCTTGGATAATGCCATCTGTGCTACATGGATAAGATTACCAGTAACCAACACAGACAAATGAGGTGTTAAATGTATGACATTTACACATGAAGTTGCAAGGATTTATACAACGTGACTGAGCTTTTGTTACGAGTTAGTCTGATAAAGCTGAAATTTGTCCCAAATCGTCAGGTATAACAAAACCGAGAGGGAACTACGAACACACACAAAAACATCTCAGTGTGTGTGCTCTCATTAGCAGGGGTGTTTCCATGATTTTTAAGTGAGGTGGCTTCATAATAATAAAGCAGCTGGATTGAAGCACAAAAACACAGCGAGAAAACAGATAATAAAATATATTAGCTGTGCAACAGCAGAGTGGTAAGAGGTAAGTAGTATTGTCTCAAGTATTCTCTTTCAACTCCTTCAAACTTTACAAATGTTTTTACAGATGGGGAGAATCAAATTGAAATAAGTGCTGACGGTAAACAATGTATACTACATGTAAGCCAGACCCCCCCACCTTTTCTGATTACATTGTTTTTACATGTCTGGAGTGGGCAGAGATGGGTCTTTTTTTAGTGCCATCAGTCGTTCAGCAACATAATGCGAAAAAAAAAAAAGGGGTGATCATGGGTAAAGGCAGACCGCATTTAAAATTGGATCCGTATCATTTAATTTGAAAATAAGAGATTGGTGAGGCCTTGGTGGAGGAGTGAACCTAATAGTTTATCATGTTTTGTATCTAAATCTGCAAAATACACGACGTCGACTGTTGAATTAACCTTGTGTAGTTGAGGAGGGATAGTGGATGTTGAACATGGAGCTGCCAGGCAGGAAGAAACCAGGAAAAACCCAGAGAGATTCATGGATGTAGTGAAGGAAGACATGCAGAGGGTTGGTGTGACAGAGGAGGATGTTAGGGAAATAGGGAAGATGGAGGCAGATGATCTGCTGTGGTGAAGCCACAACAAGAAGACGTTAGAGTAGCCTACTTAAAGATCAAGCACCTTTGACCATGTGGTGCGTGCATTCAAAAATGGCATAAAAACCCTGTGGTGGGGCATGGTTTGCGGTGCCGTGCGGACGCACCTGCACGGCATCCGCAATCACGCCCGCCGTGTTAAAACACGGGGACTCAGGGGTTGGTGTGTGTGTGGTGTGACGTGAATTAAATAAAGTTGGCTCTGAACGTTGCTCCGTGGTCCCGCCGTGCCTTATTCACGCCACAAACCCTTTTTACATGTTTAACTTAGTCAGCTGCATCAGTGGCTTATGAATGCATGAATGTAAGCAGGGCAGTTTGCTGTGAAACAGAAAGCCTATATCACGTTTAGCAAATCACAGTAAATATTCTGATTTTGACCGAACCAATTTAATCATTGCTTTTGCAGTTTAAGTCTCACATCACATCCAAAACAGAATATCCAAACAAGCTGTTGGTGGCTTTATCACGTAGGTGACTTCACTGCTCGTAGGTTTCCAGGTTGTCTTAAGGTTCAATGATCCTCTCTCACTTCCAGCATTACTCAAATTAAATGCTGGAATTTCAAACTCACCAATAAAATCCACGTCTGCGTGCCCATCATCCTTGTATGGCTTGCGCAGAGGTTCGCTGTCACAGCTGGCAATGACCGCATCAAAGAACTGCAAAGTGTCGTCCTCAGTTGGAACTGGGGGTGCTGAGGGTTTGGCTCTTGATATCTGTGGTGTAAAATGATAGAAGAAAAAAGAAAACATTTTTGATATTTCCTTCCATGTGATATTGGCTGCTTGGTTTAAGCTTACCGGTCCCTCCTTTTTAGGCGGCGAGGGCGCAGGCTTCTTCTTGGAAGAAACTGTGGCCTTTGCGTCTGTACCCTTCAAGTCGCTCACACTCTTCATGTACTGCCTCCTCAGAGCCACAAGCGCTTCCAGGTATTCAAGGCAGTTCTGATTCTGTGAGTACAGCCATATCCTGTCCTCTTGTCTCTGATAATAGTACAAGGTCGACTCGATGCTCACTGTGCTTTTGCTCCGTTTTAAAGTCGAGCCCGCGGCTGCCTGAGTTTTCTCTCCTACAACGAGCATGGAGGTGCTGCGCACTAGCCTGACAGTGCAAGCGTTGTGGTAGTCCTGCTCTTCCCGACACCCACTACCACCACCACCATCACGACCTCTCTGTCCATGATGGTTGGGACGGAACACATTATTGATCTTTCTGAACATTCCTCTAAGGACAGTATGTCATGTTGACAGACCTGCTCTCCAGTTCCCCTTTGCACACCATTTATCCATATACAAAAAAAGTACAAACCAACAAAAAACAGTTGTTGTCCTTTATGGGAGTCCTTATCACATCTTTGCTGGAGCTGTTCAACGGGACCAGAAGCTGTCCAGGGTGCTGAAATTGCCAAACTGCTACCTTGTTGTGCTACAAGAGCAGACGTGAGACAGGTGTCTAACCTGATCTCAGCATGTCCTTAATGTTATCGGATGTTGCTCAGCAACATTGCTGTAGCAACGGGTTGGTAACTCTACACTTTGCGCTCCCATTACTGAGCAGCAGACGTGTGTCAGATATCTTAACCCACAGGAGATTAAGTGGACAAAATAACTACAGCCACCAATGAAACTCTGGACCTTTTAGTTTTAGCGACTATAGCTGTGAAGCCACCTGTTTACACACCTGATACTAGAGAAAACGAAAGATAATCAGAAGCAGAAAGCTGCAGTTACACATGGGTTTGCTCGTTTTGACTTTGGTGGTATTTTGTGCTTTCGAGACTTATAATTCAGCTGCATGAACAACCTAACAGCCTCATGAGTTTATGCTGTTATATATTAGGTTTCCTTTCCTCATTAATAAGAAATAACTTTCTCTCATGTTTCATGCACTGCTATTGTTGGAGTTCCCTATCACAAGCAGAGGAAGTCTGGACAGAAAGGAGTCCTTCAAGCCGACAAGGGGCTTTCATCTCGAAAAAATCCAGGCCATAAATAACACCTGGAACCTCTCAACACTTTCACCACATATCTGATTTAGACTTCAGTGTATAGCTGCACTACAGCAAAGCTTGAGTCAAGTGAGGAAAAAGAAACTATTTCACGACCATCAAAGCCTCTGGGCTCAAGTGACTTTGACAGTTCAGTGCCTGAAGAATAGGCAAAGCATCAAGGAGGAAATGATTATTTGTGGTCACATAACTGAGTGTGAAGTTACCAATTCTGCTTTGCTGTGAACTCAGAGGATGGGAAAAAACAGTTTAAGCTAAAAACAATCAACAATTAATAAAGAAACGCTGTGAAATTTTTTGAGGTACTTCAAACATTTGTGGTGTGATCTGCCATAAAACGAAAACAGGAATCAGTTATCTGGAACTTTCTGTTTCCTTGTATTTTTATCATATTAAACACGACTTTCTTTTCTGCTTTTATGCAAAGCTCAGTTGCACACCTGCTTTGTGAGGAAATGAAACATCAATGGTTTCTTTTTACAGCGCACATCTCGCCTTGCTGTCATCCAGCATCTACCATTTTACCTCATAGTGCAAGAAGGAAATCTGATGTGGAGGTAGGCACGTCTTATTTAGGTTTGCCAGGTATAAAGGGTTTAAATAATCAGGGAAAATACCAGCTAAATCCAGTGAAAACAACATATTAGTTGTAAAGATTACAAGCTGAAATGCATTAATGATGAGAGCAGAAGTTTGCAGACTTGGGATCAAGGTGAAAAGGGATAGTCCCACTTCCTTTTTGGGTTGTATAAAACAACAGCCAGGTTCAGACTCCAAAACAGACTTTTGAGAGAACCGCTTTAGGACGTTTAGTGCCAAAATACAGGTTTTAAGCTTTTCTGTGACTCAGATCTGAGGTAGGAAGATCATTCTTTTTAATAGATGAACAGTCTTTGGAAGTGTTAAACCAACATATTCTTCTGTTACATGTAACTTCTTAAACTCCAATTAAATTTTGAAATAGTCTGCAAAGACTTTTCAACAGGGATCAATTGTGCAGCAGAAATAGTTTGATGCTTCTCATAATGCTTATGCAAAATGTTCTCTCAGTGTTGCTTATGTCCCGTTTTGGTGCCTTTATTCAAATGCATACTGTTTGTATGCACTTAAATAAAAGCCTGTAGGGATGTGTGCTGCAAATATATGTATATATATATATATA